GGGTATGAATACTTTTGCAAACCACTGTACATATATATATACAAACACACATATATACATATACACACACACTCATGTTTTGAAAGCTGACGAAACAAACAAAAAAATAAACTTGAGAGCAGTATTTATGCACAGGCAATGGTAGGACATTGGTTTCCTTTTGTGTCACTCCTTTCCAACACTCTAAGAAACAGATTTAAGGAATTCAATGTAAACTCGATTTAATACAGCTACAAAAACTAAAAAGAGTGCAATCTTCATTCAGATTCAGATTTTATTTCCACGGAAGAGCAAAGCTACACTGCCCCCATGTGGCAGCAACATGCTATGACATGTCAGTGTGTGTCTGCAGATCATTGCAGGACTGATGCAGAAGCATGGTCTGTCCTGAAGCTGCTTCATGCCTACCTTACTGCCAGGCTTAGGTCCTCGTTTCTTGGGGATCTTGATGGGCTCCAACCCTTTTTCTGATTGAATGCTCTGAGCTACCAGTGCAGAGGCTTTTTGACTCCAGGACCCTGTCACTTTTATTTTTCTGCGGCCTGACTTACGTCCTCTCTGACCTGGAGGTCTACCCACAATGGGAGTGGGATTCATTGCTGGGCTCTCCACACTTCCGTCTGTCAGTACCCCAAGGCTCTTAGGCAACACAGCTGAATGGGTAGAAATGAACAGAGAGAAAAAGCTATTTTAGATCAAAAGTAGTCRACTGGTATGTGGAACCTAGACAGTCTTACGTAATCGTGTCTCATGAATGACATGAAGAACAGACATAAGTTAATTCAAAACCCTAAAGCCAACACTGCATTGCTAGAAGTGTAAGAAAATAAACAAAAAGAGAGAAAGAAGAAGAGCAAAACATTACATCATGACTTATGCTCCAATTTGCCAGTGGTACAAACTGCCATCAAGTGAGCACTTTTTAAAAAACAGGCTGCAACAAAGTGTTTACCCTAAGCTCACTGACTTCAATCCAAACATCCCCTAAAAAGCGTTACTTCCAGTAACTACGTCCTCTCAGGGAATAAAKCTGCAAACTCCTACAGCATGAAAGAATTACACTGTCTCACAAGCTGTGCTTGACTACAGTTTCTTCTGTTTGTCTGGTCTAACTTACTGCTAAGTTAAACTAATCTGAAGTAATCATGCTTGAAAAGAAAATAGAAAAGAAAAACTGAGCCTCTTCTGAATGAATACAAACACAAAATGTGCAAACACTTTGCAGGTTTCAGGATTAAAACCATATATAGAAGCAAGGTGCAGTCAGCTGTGAAACAGACTTGAAATTTATCTCCCAAATGTTCTCCCAAGAACACATTCTTCATTAGATGATGGGTGAGCATTTCAGGAATCACATCACCCGCTAAGGAAGGAGCGAGAATGTGGTTAAAACATTAAAGAGGGAAAATCTTGAACACAGAAAACAAAGCAAATATACTGAGTACTTCATAAAAGATATCAAACCTAGAAAAACCTGAAGAGTGTATGTATAAAAAACAAAAAAAGAAACCAAATTGCAGGATGTTTAGCTTTAAATATTAACTGTAAGCAACCCCACTCCCTGAACAAAAATGTTACAGTATTCACTCTGAATCAATGAACCTCTCATGTACCACTTTTGTACCTTGTATGAATCCGTCCTGAAACAGATTTATATGCGGTACAACCAGATTCATTAGCGCAAGTCTTGGCCTGTGAGGCTGTATTTATTTAAAGGTTTTCAAACACGCACACAAATCAATGCAAAGCTCAGCCTGCACGCTGCCACTACTCTTTCATGGGGGAAGTCACAGCAAGGTTAGTGGAAGTAAAACAACAAAAAAAGTCTCATTGATTTTAAACCAATCAGACAAATTCTCAGTAACATCTCTAAAGGGTTTGAAGTTATAATTGATTGTAACAGTTGCAAATGCTGTCAAACAAATGCACAACAAGCAAACTCTTGTTTTCCCTCCGCCTCCCTTTGAGTGCACCAAGTTCATTGAGTTCACAAACCCACCACTGCCAGCTTCAAATTACAGCAACACAACTTCTACAGAGCTTTTTCATCTATGACTCAATAATGGCGATTGTATTTTAATTAGTTTTACTCACCCTGCAGCCCAAACAAAAGTCCTAAAAGGAGTGCGACTGTCTGCTCGGCTGTCCTCAGATTCACCCTCTCCCACTGCCTGCTCCTCTTTTCCCACTCTTCCTCTAAGTTGCTCCTCCTTCCGTTCTCTTTCCACCCTTCTCTTTTTTTTCTCTCTCTCCTCCCACCGTCTACTTACTATGTAAACAATCCACCTTTCACACCATTTGCCTGTCTTTTCTCCTTGGTCCCATCTCCTCTGTGAGCGTAACTCTTTCCAACGGGGCATAATCAGACTCTGGTAACCAAAGTGCCAAAAGAGAGGCCTGTGAAGGGGCACGCAGGCTTGTTTCAACTACATCATGGCCTACTTTGTCAACTGGATGGCTGCCAGAGCTTCATAAAAACACTGGCAGGCTACAAAGGCAAGTCTTGCCTCTCTATTTCCCTTCTTCCTTTTACTCCCTCGCAGGCAGTGGAGTCTGCAGATGAGGACGGTTGACCCTGCAGCTGAAATCTCTTGTATCCGCTGTTCTCTTTAATGTTTCATGTACAATAAATGGATTCATTCTTGTTCCAAGTCCTTGCTGTAGCTTAGCCGCATGCCTAAATTTAATAAAGTTGCCACTTCTGAGCAGTTTTGGCAACCTGTGACCTGCCTGCTTAAAAGAAAGAAAACAAATAAGTATTTATCACGAAGTTCATGCTCAGATGTTATGAACACAATCCTTTAGAGGAAAAGCAGAACCACAGACTTGCTCACTTAAAACGGTTTACAAACTCCATAAGAGCAAAGTGTAATTCAGAAAGTCTATGAAGAATCTGCACMATGGTACCGCCTCGCTGCTGTGTTTTCATGCTTTCATGGGACTGGACATTCTGGCCAATTACAGACGCTTTTAGACCAGACAAGTGTTTCTGAGAGCTTCAAACGACAAAGCTAGCTGAAGGCCATGTTCAGTGAATGTGTTTGGCAGCTTATGAGCCCCGTTGACACTGATCTGTTTTTAGCATTTGTGAAGTGTGTGCCTGCGCCTGGGGAAAAGGGCTGGTTTTTAGGAAAAAATAACAGAAGATCTGCTGAAAAGACAGACCCTGGTGTTTGTTCTTTTAAATCTCTTTTAAATTCTAATATGTCGCCAAAAAATGCAGGACATAAAAAAAGGAATGGATAAAATAAAATCCGGACAGTTAGATTATACAGATGTAGTGGTCACCTCGAGGTGGAATGGACCGTTCCACCTGTCATTGACCTTGGTCTCAGAAGGCCTCCTTTAAAGAGACAGAACTCTGTTCGAGTTAAAGTCATAACATGTTTTCTTAAACAGTAAAGAGACAATTTCTACTTATTACTCTGAAAATAAGCAGAATAATCTTCTTTTATTCATAATTTTATCGATGTATAAAAAAAAACACATAAAGAATGTTATTACAATGTTTTCTTTTTTATACATTGATAAAATTATGAATAAAAGAAGATTATTCTGCTTATTATCAGAGTGATAAGTAGAAATTGTCTCTTTACTGTTTAAGAAAACATGTTATGACTTTAACTCGAACAGAGTTCTGTCTCTTTAAAGGAGGCCTTCTGAGACCAAGGTCAATGACAGGTGGAACGGTCCATTCCACCTCGAGGTGACCACTACACAGATGTGACCAGTAAGTTAATAATAAGTGATGARGTTACATTTAGGGCTGCCARGATTAATCGATTAATCGATGACTAATCGATTATTAAAATAATCGATGACTAATTTAATAATCGATTAATCGTTTTCTTTTTTTGTTGTTGTTCTTTACTTTGTTTTTCTCCCCAAACTGCTTTGACACCTTCCACTGCCACATCTGCCTTTCTGTCCTTGACACACATGCACAGTAGTGGTAACTGGGGTAGGCCGTGGACGTCACAAGACATTATACAGACAGGCTCTGGTATCATGGCTACCTGACAACGGAGCTCAAAAGTGTGGGATCATTTTAAGAAAATAAAGAGAAACCTGTGRAATATCTGCAGAGCAGAACTTGCCTTCCACAGCAATTATTTTTAGTTAGTATATAGCTAAAATCTAACGATGGTTATATAATAGCAGCTGCATTCTGGCGTGATAAGCTGTATGTTTTATATTCAATTAACGTATGATCTGATTAGTCGACTAATCGAAAAAATAATCGGTGATTAATCGATTATTAAAATAATCGTTTGTGGCAGCCCTAGTTACATTATATTCAAGTTTTGTTCCGTCTTCACTCCTCACTGGTTAATAACTAGATGATGATTTTGTTTAGTTGATAATCTCAACTTATCAATGAGAACAACTATACTGATTTTTTTTAAGTGGAGGGGAAAAAGCACTTAGAGACATTCTTGTGTTAGGTCAATATGACCATTTGCTCATTTCTACCCCACTCCTGATAAGTGCTCTATCAAAGGCTCTGGCACCAATCAGTCTGTTCTGCTTTGGTACTGAAACCAAAATGGTGTGAGCGAAACATAAATGCTTTCTTTCCATCGTCAGGCTCTGATACCGGAGCTGTTCATTTATGATGTACCAGCCTGAATAAACGCACAGAGAGTCAATGTCGGGTTTCCATTCGTGTGATGCTCGTCTTCCCCTGGGAGTGTGGTAAATCTGTCACAAGTGCAGTTTTTGTGAATCTGTGCTTCCCCGCATCTTAAACTTAAATCTGAAAAACCACATATTCACTTGTGGTTTAGGACTTCCTTTTCACAACGTGAGTTTGTACTATTTGTGAAATCTTAAATGCAGTAAACATCCCTTGAGCATCAAAAAACAATACCCTGAAAGGAGCATTTAGCTTGGTCGGATGTTTCTTCCTACAAAAAAATATGCTGTTTATTTTATAGTGACAATAATGACCAATTCTGTAAACATGAATATTGAACATCAATAAAGACTGCATCCACTGAACTCTACCAGGAGCCTACAAAAGCCCACACCACTCAGGTACAAGTTATACTCAGAACTAAGCCCATTCAAAACTTAAGAATTAAGGTCCAGACCTTTGGTGCCGGGCGGCTGAAGGTTGTCTCCAGTGAGGGCACACCAGCCAACTGGGAAGATGTCCCGCGAGTCATAGCGACAATAGTAATCAAAGGCCCCGCGCCATCCATCGAAGGTAACCAGCACCTCGACTCCACGCAGCGCGCCAACTGTCGCAGGACAGATAAAATGTGGGTTTTTCCGATCCACTGCCTCCAGCTTCATTCCCACCTGGAAAGAGTTCTGCTCTGGAGCGGGAGGCTCCTGCTGGGGAATACCGGAAGACACAACAGGGGTCAGGTACAAAAGTTGGTGTGCTTTAGTTTGATTGGTGGTAATTAGCTGGATGATTATTCAATGCAGCAAAATTAAAAATTAAACATACTAATGAGAATTTGGCATGTAATTAACAATCTTTGTAAAGTTGTTAACACACAGATTTAATAAACAATCACTTTCTCAACGAAATAACACATTTACTTTGAATTTTCAGTGTGTTTTCGGCTTGTGAGCCTTGTGCAGGTACCTTGTGAAAAATGCGGGATGGCGCCATTTCAGCACCATTTAGTGTTTTCAGAAGAAACATGGGCCAAGAGGACGCGTTGAGACGAAAACCTGAATAGAAAAATAGATTTGAAGGTGGTGAGTGATTAACTCTGTGTTTGTATTCTAGACAAAAATTGACTAAACATACAGAGACAGAAAAAAAAAATACATTTGGCGTAAAGACCATTGTATTGTGTAACTACAAAAACCTGTTTGTGGGCGGTCCGTGTTGATTATGTGAAATGTCTATATACGTTAAGATGTTTGGAGAGCAGGTGTGTAGCAGGAAGGCAGAACGCACACAACCAGAAGTGCATGATGTTAATGTTGRAAACTAATATTATTTTGGATGTATATAAACTCAAGGAGAACGAAGAATCTGGAACTCCTGTCAAAAACCTTTAATCACTGCACCAATGATTCATAGGGGATCCCTTATAACCAATTAAATATTAACTGGAAGTATAACACGTAAAAAGATCTCTCTCTCTTTACCCAAACTACATTGTTGGGAAAATTAGCAGCTTTTTTAAGGATTGGTAAGAATATTTCCTTGGTTTTGAGTTACTGATCATAAAACAATATAAAAAATACATTTAATTTGAGAAGGCACAAAAGTATTTGTTTTTATTGTTGTTTGATATACGACATCCTTACTTTTTTAGACAAATAACTCAAAGCAAGCATCACATTTTTTAGTAAAACTTACTTAAATAAAATAATTTTGGTAGGAGGCATAACGTGTTTTTGTAAAAATACGCATCTTTATTTCTGTATTACGCAGCCGGACATTTTTGTGCCCAGTCACTGACCTCCAGAGGACAATTATAAAAAAGTTACGCAAAAAAAGTCAGTAAACCACAAAAAGTCTCTCTGTTTTTTAGTTCTTACCCAGTGGTGGCTGCAGCATGCCTCCATTCTTTTCACAGCTACCAATAGGCTGAATCTCTGAAGAATCCACAAGGCGCCAGAAGTCATTCTTATTATCAGACCCGTCTAAACGCAGGCGCAGCCTCGAGCCCGTCAGACCCACAACTGTGGCGATGCAGGTGGACGTGGTGTTCCGTGGGTCCTGGGCTTCTAACTTCATACCCACCTTGAACTCATTGACTGGAGGTGTGAGGTTCTAAATGGTGATGACAGATAAGCAAAGCAGGTAAAGCCATCATCAGAAAAGGAAGAAGTGTGCTCTTAAATCATGAAAAGAAAACTACAAGGACAGTGCAATGTGATTACCTGTTTGAAACAAGAAGAAGGAGCAGCAACAGAACCGGTCTCTTTTAGATACATCTCCCAACTGAAGTGACCTGGAAAATAATTTATTTATTTTATTTGTGTTTGAACAAAACATTGCTATTATGATTAATATTAAAACAAGAATAAAACCATTATAAGCTGAGCCCACTTCAAATGAGCTTGTTTCATAAATCACTAGATACTGTAAGTTATTTACCTTGATACTGGGAGGGCACCCGGGAGGGCCGACCGCTCCGAGGATGCTTGATTATTGTGGTATCTTTCCATTCTAAAGCTGCAGAAGTAAAGCAAAACACAAACATATCTGAGACTAGCTTTCTTATATGGTAATATCTTAAAAACATTGCAACAATCACTGATAAGTCTGCTGCTATACTAATGTCATACTTCTTTACTTAATGTACTACAGAAACACGTTACAAGTACTTTCACTTTTTTTGTTTTACATCAGTAATAATGAAGAATTTCTTACGTTTTTGTGGCACAGGTTTCCTCATGCTCCAACAATTCGGACCATATAACTCAACCACACTGAAAACAAGAAAATAAGCACAAAACACTGTAAACTGTTCATTTATAAATTCAATTCTCCCAGTAATTATTACGTATAGTATCAGGCACAAAAAACTTTTGCATTCTTTTTCATCTAAGTGGAGGGTCACTATTGTGGCGACACTTAATAGGGCAAAGATGAAAGATGTTTAGTCATCAATATAAATGTTGTCCAGTTTTGTTTATTACTTTATGATTTTATCAACTAATACAACAATTGCACAAAACAATAAAAAGGTTTAGAGAACAACACGTGTTGTCTCCTTTATTTCAAACTCCCTCCCTCTATCCCATGGATCAGACAAGTGTTTCAGGAAATATAGGCTGTGTCCAAAACGACAGGCCGGGTCCTCCGGAGGACCCAGACTCCCCGGTCTCGGC